ACAAATTTATAACATGTATCCACCTTACAGGATCATAAGGAAAGTTTCACTGCCATGAAAATCCTGTGCTCCGCTATTCACCCCTCCTCACATTTCCTGGCAACCACTGATCTTTTTACTCAGTGGTTTTGCCTTTTCCAGAATGTCATCTAATTGGTAGCATACAGTATGTAGCCTTTTGAGGTTGACTTCTTTCATTAAACCATATGCATTTAAAGTTTGTGTCTGTCTTTTCATAGCTTGAGACCTCATCTCTATTTATCATTGAATAATATTCCATTGTATGGGTGCACCACACTTTGTCTATCTATTCACTTACTGAAGGGCACCTTAGTTGCTACCGTTGAGCCACCCAGGCATCCCACTGAGCACCTTTTAACGTGCTTATCTACCATCTGTATATCTTCTTTGGTAAGGTGCGTGATCAGATCTTTTGTCCGTTTTTAGACCGAGTCATTCCTTTTCTTGGGTTTTAAGAGTTCTTTATACATTTTGGATGTCAGTCCTTTATCAGGTATCTGTTTTGCAGATGCTTTTTTCCACTTTGTGGCTGTCTCTTCATTCTCTCAGTGGTCAGGGTGTTTATACTTTCAGGAGGAAGGGTTTTAGAAATACTTTCTCTAACAGCAGTAAAAGAAAAAATTCATAGCAAATGTTTTACGCTCTCTCAACTGGTGTCAGGGATCCCTCTCTGTGGACCCAAAAGAGTTCAACTAAAAGGGAAGCCTCAGGCCCTGGGAGTGGTGGCTAGCTATCCTGCACTGTGAGAGTTTACGCAGCAGGGCTAGGAACAAGAACAGAACCTCCCTGAGCTGCATGACTTCTAAACTAAACACCGTTTAGGAACTATGCATAGGGTAGGAATTTCTGTCCAGAAATCCAAGTATGTAAAAGATAATCACTTTCCATATTTCCTTTAACTCAACCTAATTTCACCCGTGAGACCCATCCTGCCAGTTGGATAGGTGATTCCGTCTTGATCATACAGGGGTGCCCTTTCCTTCCTCCAGAATTCAGGAAGCTTACTTAATGCCTAGAAATGGGAGAAAGGGCTTAACGTCCCAAGTCTGTCTTGGTTGCCATTGGCAACCTCACTATCTAAACCACGGGAATCTGTGAAGCCTGGCAGCTCCCGGCCCCCATGTCAGTGGGGGTTACCAATTGAGGCCCATGAGCCAAGCGCACTGCCTCTGTAGGCAAGAGCCATGACTCCAAAGCTTTAGCCCCCCGGGAGCACTGAGAAGGGTGCTTGGATCCCACTGCTCCCAGGACCCAAACACCTCTGCCCTTCCTTCCTCTTGCATTTCAAAAGTGCTCTCTTTTCTCTTCTTATCTAGGACACTTGTATCATCTCTTCCATGGGCTTTCACAAAAGCCCAAAGGTGCCTTGACTTTTGTCTCTTCTGCTTTCTCTCTTGCAAAAAACAAAACAAAACAAAACTGTGTGTCAAGAAATCTCGAAAACAAACACATTTCAATAAAAAATGCTGCTACAATTATTTGTGGAAACGATCTTGTCCTATATTGGAACTACCACAACATATAATATTTAAATTTCCTCTTGACCAGTGACCACAGGAAGTCATTTATATATAGCAAACAAATACATGGCTGGAATTGGAAAATTTGGCTGTTTGGATCTTTCCAAATGCCCACAAGTTCCTAGCTCTGCCCTTCCCTGCCCCCAGAGGAGAGCCTAACTATGTGGTCCCAGGGGAATATCTCTTGGGCAGTTCAGCAAGAACATCACAAAGGTATCTATTTCCCTGACCCAGCTACCATCTCTGGCCACTCGCTTCCTGCTGCTTTTTCTTGTAGCCTTGGCCTCATCAGATATGAGAACATCTGGGAGTGAGGCATGGAGGAAGCAGCCCCACACAGAAAGCAGCCTTCTGAGGTTACTAGTAACTTCCTCCTTACTAAGCACAAGGAACTGATCTTCATTTTGCTTAACCTCATCTTAGCATTTGATATTGTTGACCACCATCACTGCTGAACCCCATCTATCTTTGGCCCTGATGACCCTTGGGTAAGGCCTTCTTATCAAATTTTTCAGCGGCACATGGCTTGAAAAGATGACCAATACAATGAAAGACATGTATGGGATTTAGAGTAATTTTGACTGGCTGAACACTGACACACAAATAAGATTGGACCAGGAGGTGGTGATCTCACATGACACTTGAAAAAATAAAAATCATGGTCAGCCACTCCAATACAACTGTTTATACGCTTATTTGATCTCTGACTCATTAACAAAAGTGATCTTATCATCATCCATTCCTTTTTGTGAGCCCTCTCTGCAAAGAGGTATGTTAATAAATTCAGGAAGTCAGATGCCAGTGAGAGAATCACCAGGTTGCTTTGGTTCTAGAGACCACATCATATGAGGAACAGTTGAGGACACTGATACTATTTAGCAGAGGGAAGAGATATCTGCTTTCAACTCTTTGGAGGGCTCCATGTAAAGAAGTTAAAAATGCATATACCAGTTAGTTTACTATACAGGACAGAGACAAGTAGATGGTACTTATAGGGCTGAGGAGAGAGAAGGGGGAGATGTGAGATTATTATAAAGAAGACCTTTTTCTCTTATAACTGTCTTATCAGGTAGTGAGTTTTCCAACATAAGTGAGAAAGCAAAGACTGGATGTCCGTCTACTGAAGATAATATCAAAGGGGTCCTTGCTTCACAGTGAGAAGCTGGGATGACTTCTGAGGTCCCTTAGACAACCCAGCAATGCTAATGAAGTCATGGAGTAAGGGAATTCCATGGCACCGTGTTGTCCTTTATTTCTGCTGCCAGCCTCACCCCTTATCTCCCATTAATTCAATGTTGCAGTATATAGGATCCTGCTCTAAGCAGGAGCTGAAACGAGGAGATGAGAGAAAATATGTGAAAGGGAAAACAATAAAACAGCTTTTTTTTAAAAAAAAAAACCTGCTACATGTCAGGATCTGTGTGAGACACCATATATGTGTCTTTCTGTCTAATCCTTACAACAAGCTTATAAGATATTTAGCATTACTTCTGTGATGAAACTAGGGTTCAGAGAAGTTAGATGACTTCCCCAAGAACACACACGTATCAACTAGTGTTGAGTTTGAACTAGCCAGAGTTTGAACACAGGTGTCTGTGATTCCAAAGCCCTGTGTGATGTGTTATTTTTTACTCACCCTTCACTTATGGCAAGGTATATTGGCTTTTAAAATTTTTTTGTTGATATAAAGACTCCTTTTAAAATAAACTGACTCAAAAGTAAGTCAAGAGAAAAATAAGTGTATAAAAAAATTAATACAGATTTGACATAGATATGAAGTGGGACTAGTAGCTAGAGTGACTGAAATTCGGTAACTACTATTCCAATATTCCAATAGTAAGACTTTCCAATTTAGTCTATCTTAGATTTTGACTGCTGAGTACAAAGAAACAAAGGAAACTTGAAAAATGAGTGGAATGTAAGTTGATTCTCCTGTGCCCTGATACATGGGTAATTTCATATGTTACAATAAGGAAACTAAATGGACCCTTTGAAATTAAAAAAATATATGATTGTAAAATCCAGAGGAAAACCCCAGGTGGGGCCTATCCGAATAAAGGATGAAGTTTCCAAGGTATACACACAGAATGGCTGAGAGGAAGTGAAGACCCTATGAGTCAGGGCCCGGGACCCATGCAGGAAGGCTATGGGTTCAAGAGGTCCTGGACGGAAGGTGAGGGAGTTGACGTGTTTTTGGGAAGAAAGACCATCACCTTTCCAGTGGTTAAGGATAATCTTTGTGGTCCAATAAAGGTCAAAATGAGAACTGGATGGTCTAAAAGGAAGACAGGAAAGTAATAATGAAGAGTAAGTAGCTGCATAGCATGCTCAGGGCCAGGCGATTTACATGCAAGATCCCATTTGTCTTTCAGAACAAAGCAGCAAGGACGCTGGTCACATTTCCTGAATAAGAAGACTGAGATGGGGAGATAGATGTTCAGAACTTTTTCAGGGCCCAGCAATCAAGCCAGCATTTGACCTTGGGCCACCAGTTTCAAACCCAGGCTGTGCTACTTCCCCTGCACCACAAGTCCTTGCTTGGGTGCTCCTTCTCAACCCAGACAACAAACAGCTTTTCCTTTGTTACTTTAATTTCTCCAGCCCTGCAGGGCACAGTTGGCCTCCAGGGAGTGGAGGAGGCTTGCTCAGAGGGAACTTCTCTCTTGAGTGCAAATACTGCAGGCTCAGAAGCACACAAATCCCCCTCCCCTCCCCCCAACACCCCGAACTTTGAGCAGAGGGCTTTGCAGGGCCAGACTGAGTCAGAAAAAGAAGCCATACACTGGGGGCAGGATTATAGGTGTGAAGCCTGTCCCTGCTGAAGCACTAGGTTTGGAAAAATCCACTTGACATTCACACAGCTGTCACTCCTCTGCTTGTGACTTGTCCCTGGACTTGAGAGTACCACCTAGTTCTATGAACAGGAGCCAAGGTAATAGAAACATTCTAGATTAGGACAGTTAGGATTAGATTGGGAAAATGTAAAAACGGGCTGTGTATGTTAATTGACTTCTAGCAGGATCCATGGAGGTACACGCAAAGTGAATGGTTGGTGGGGCGGGGTGCAGTGAGAAGAGAAATACCCAGTGTCTGGGTTCTCTGATTACAAACTGTCTCCTGCAGCCCTGCCAAGCCAGAAACAGTGCAGGGTACCCCATCAAACACTTGTTAAACTGAGCTGAACCTTTACCTATGAGCCTCAGAGCCTGCACTCCTGGATCCCTGTCAGTCTTTGTCATATTTGTGGCTGGGCTGTCTTTGGGGAGTTTCCTCAGGGCTTTACATTCACTCACTCTCCGCCAGTGCATTCGTAGTCATTTTCATCGGTGGAAATGCCCACCTGCCATCAGAAGTTATCTGGAACCAGCCCCTGTCTGTGGTGCTATTTCTTTCTTGTCAGTTCCCCTTTCTACATTTGAGTTCTAGCCTCAGCCCTGACATTATTTCTTTCTCTACAAGGGGTGTTAGGACGTTATGGGGAGCTCACGAAGTCTCCTCTTTGTTTATTCTTAATACCCGGCTTCTGTGTTCCTCGGGAATGCCACTGGGCTTATGCACCTGGTCTCCGGGAGCTGCGGTGGATGGGCATGTGTGACAGGTATGTTCTTCGGGCGCCCGGGTGCCTGGGGGGCACGGGGTTAGATGAGGCTGAGTCTGGGGCAGGTGTTCAGAGGTGGGGCTGGTGGCTGGCCAGGAGCGGGTAAGAAGGGCTGTGGAGGACATGCACCGAGCTTCTGGGCAAGCCTGAGCTTGCTTCTGAGACTGGCCATGTCGGAGGTAGGACAATACAAAGACGTGGCTCTTCCAGCCAGATCCCTTTGTCTGCTTTGGTGACCTGAGGGACAGGACAGGCAGGAAACAGAAGGCGCCACTTACCAAACAACCTGCAGCCGCCCCTGGCCTCTGGCTGCCGGAGGCTCCAAGTAGCTCTGCTGCAGGAGAAACCATCCAAGACGCTGGCCCTGCCTGGGCCCCTCGTGCCAGTGGGAAGTTCAGACAACCCAGGCAAAAGCCACAGCCTCTGCAGCGCTCTCTGCTTTCTTATTTGGCATTTCTCTACCTGTCCCTCTTTTTTTCTCTTTTGTCCATTTCTTCTTCCCATCTAAGTGCCCCATCACACTATTGGCTCCTCTTGGCACCAGAGACCAACAGCCCATTTGAAAAGAAAGTCTTAGGTCAAAAAAGAGCCCAGGCAGTGGTTTCTCGTGTTCTGTATACCATGAACGTATTTGCATTTGCAAATAGGCTTAAAATAGTGTCTCCACTAATAGTTATTTAAGGAGAGACAGGTGAAAATAATTTTTGGCCAAGGGAACTTCCCACTCCCCTCAAATTGTAATAGCTAAGGAGATGGTCTATTCCTCTGACGTGTAACCTCAAACTTGGGACGAAGGCTCTGGACTTACATGAGTCTAATTATGTGTGCAAGCTCACAGTTCTGTATTATTTTAACTGTTTGCTGTTGCAGGTACCATGAATGCTATTTATATGAGCTATACCATGTATAATGGAAGCTTTTATAAATGTTTGTTCATTGGTGTGTTCTAAATATATTTATTGAGGGCTTACCTATGTCCCATGTAGTGGGGTTTTAACAGGGAGCATAAAAGACATGGTCCTTGTACTCTTGAAGCTTTTAGCCTTATTGGGAAAACAGTGCTAATTAAACAGTCACACTAACATGACTATATGGCGACTGTGCTTTGAAGGCAAGGAAATGGCTCTTTGTGATTTTACTCACTGTTTAATAACCATGTCTTTGAGCTTGATATTTTGGCTACTCTAATACCCCTGAATGTCAGATGTCTCTTCCTGGTGGAGATGAGGATTGGATTTTATGGAGTTGAGGCTAAGGTGAGTGTGGAAAGAGCATAAAAGGTGAAAAGGTAACCCACGCCAGGTTCTTTAGGAGAGAATTGAGATGTTTGAAATACCATGTTTCAAAAATGGGATAGAGGCCAGGTTTAGGTGTTTCTGGGCTAGGAGCCTAAAGCTGTGAAGAAACAGAACAAGAACAAAACATGTCTGAAGCAAGTAAGGAGGGTGGTCGGAAGGTTCCTGGGCGGTTATCCAGAGTCTAGGCAAGTGTTGACAATTCACCTTTCGTGGTCAGGCAAACAAGAGTATTTAGGGGGCCGGACAGAAGGATAGGGCCTTAGGCTGGGCACATCATTCCTTACTGGACCTTTATCCTCATCTCTAACCTTATGTAGAGCCTTGTTTCTGAACCGTAGATTGGCATATACTCAGGGTGAGCTTTGGGAAATAGACACCATTTTGAATAGGTATAGAGGAAAAATATGTCTTCAGCACTTTCCATCTCCCCATCAGAAGAGGAAAGTTCCCATTCACTAGTCTCCCTACTTTTTTTGAGTATGATTCCTTTCTGAGTTCCATTTCCTATTTAGATAAATTAACTTGAACTTAACTCTTAAGGGCTAAAACCAAAAAACATTGCTCCTTTCTAGTTAGCGTTTGCATTTTAATAGGGGCTTTCAAAAATGCCTTAACCCAAGGAATGAGTAATTTGGGAATTCCAAGCACCGGGGTAGAGCTGGTACACGGAATGGGGAGTGGGGACGTCCCTCAAATTGTGCCCTTGAAACACTAGCTTTCTCTCTTTGACCATGATTCTGGTTCTGAGAGAACAGGAAGGGGCCCTCTTACAGGGCCAGGATTGGCATAAATGCCTTTTAGTGAGTTCTGTGGGTCTTATTTGCGGTAGGCGGAGCATTTGATCAGAGGTGCACAGACTCACTTGTATAACTTGGCATGATGCTTGCTCATAGGCACTTTTTTGGCAAAAAAGGAAAAAAAACGGCTTCAACAACCATTGATAATTTGGAAAAGGGATGCTCCTTGTCTCAGAAAGATCCAATTCTAGATATGACTAGGAGAACCGGGGATGTGTCTCGTACACAAACTTGCTCTAAGTAGACTGGAAAAACTAAATGCTCTCACCATGCTGTGCTCCTTCTTTTGGGTGAGCGAGGGGAATGGACTCATGATTTTAATACTTAGTCACCTATAATATCAGGGAATGAATAAAAGCAGCCTTCTTCTCCTTAAGAGTCTACATAGACATTTCTTCATTGTACATACGCATCTTTGATGCTGTTACATCTGTGTGGAAACACTATGCTCCCAAGTGGGTGAGGGGAAGGACAGCTTATCAACGTAAGGCAGTATTACGTAGGAAAAATTCTCCACAAACAGAGACCCAGGAGGATTTGCTCCAAGAAGAGATTGGAAACCAAGTTAGTCAAATGACCCAGCCTGAGCTAGAAAGAGACATAGAGGGCAGGGGAGCTCAGCAAAGCTGAAAATGGGTGACACACATCCAGAGCCAATCATCTCCTGTGTCCACCAGACACCACGAAGTGCTCACGTTTTCATCAAGGCAGCGCTCATGTTCATGTCTTTCTTGTCATACCCACGGTCCTCATCTTGGGTCTATGAGACTTTAATATTGGCTTTCTTGATCCCCCTCACATCAGCCCTCACCTCCTTCCTCAGGCCACTGACAGGCTTATTTTCTTTAAACTTTGATTAAATATTTTTTCTGCTCCTAAACCATTAATCCCAAACTCTCAATTTTCTACCATATCAAATACAAACTGGTCTGACATTGCAGACTCCATTAAGCTATCCTACTCTACTTACAGAAATGAATTTCCCATTATTTGTGCAAGTAAAAAAGTAAAAAAGCCCTGTGGCATCCACTGTGTTAATCTCTTAAACAAGAGTGACTTGTAGCACTCAGTTGTTGAATGAATGAATCAATCAATCAACCAATCAATACCTTATCCTCATCGCCACATCCTGTTGATTATAATCCTAAATATTGCTTGAACCTCTCCACTTTTACTTCTGCTACTACCACCCCAGACCAAGTGGCCATCTTCTTTCATTTACATGACCACAGTAGCCAACTGATTGGTCTTCTGGCATCTGTTCCAGTTTCCCTACTATCCATTTGCTACACAGTAGCCAAGTCATCTTTTTAAAATATCGCTCCTCTAATTTCTTCAGTGATTCATGTTGCACTCAGAATAAACACCAAAGTCTGTTACTGACCCCTAAGATAAGCACTATCTGGCCCCTGCTGACCTCGCCAGGCTTGTGTCCCCAGTCTTCTAGTCACTTAAGCCACATCAACCTTCCCTCATGTACCCTCTTGCCTCAGTGCCTTTGCACCAGCTGTTCCTTTTGCCTAAAATCCTCCCAAGCCACTCCCTTTCACCTTTATAGCACGTATTTAATCTGTTCTGTTTACCTATTAGTGTATAACAAACTCTCCCAAACTTAGCAGCTTAAAACAATGAATATTTTACTCTGTCTTACAATGTTGTAGGCCAGAAATCTGGGTAGGCTTTTGAGTGATTTTTCTGTTCCTCATGGCATCAACTGAAGTCACATGGTGGTTAGTGTTAATCTAGTGAATGGGCTGGTCTAGAGCTGCACTGTCCAATTCAGTAGGCGCTAGCCACGTGTGGCTACCACCGATCACTTGAAATGTAGCTCATATAAGAGCTATAAGTGCAAAATACCCACAAGATTTTGTGCAGAAACAAGAATGTAAAATACCCATTAATAATTTTATATTGATTATATGTTGAGATTATAATATTTTAGATATACTGAATTAATTAAACTATATCATTAAAATTAATTTTTACCTTTAAAAATTTTTTTACTGGCTACTTGAAATTTTCCAATTACATATGTGGTTGTATTATATTTCTGTTGGACAGTGCTAACCTAGATAGAGCAAGGGTCAGCATTTTTTTCTATAAAAGACTAAATAGAAAACATCTGCAGCTTTTCTTTCTTTCTTTTTTTTTTTTTTTACATCTGCAGCTTTTCAGGTCATATGGTTCCTACCACAGCTACTCATCTCTATGACTGTAATGGACAAGCAGCCATAGACAATAATTAAACAAACAGGTATAGCCACATTCCAACAAAACTTTATTTGTAAAAAGTAGGTGGTGGCCAGGTTTGCTCTGCAGGCTGTAGTTTGCTGACCTCTGACTTAGAGAATCCAAGATTTTATTCCTATGTCTGGTGGGTTGGCAATAATGGCTGGAAGGCAGGACTCAGCTGGGACCGTTAACCCAAACACTTGGCCTCTTTGGCATGATAGTGTCAGGGCAGTAGGACATCTTACATGATGGCTCAGAGCCCCAGAAAAAGTATCCCAAGAAAAATAGAAGCCATAAGACTTATTATGATCTAGCCTCTCAAGTCCAAAACATCCTTTCTGTTGCATTCTATTGGCCAAACAAGTCTCAAAGTCTGCCCAGATTTAAGTAGAGGAGGTTAAACTTTACCTCTTCAGGGCAGGAATAGCAAAGGATATGTGTCCATATTTATCACATCATTCTTCAAATCTCAGTTTAGACTAGTCCTATAATAAGCATTCAAAGAACCATGAATCTCTCCTTTGTAGCGCTTGTCATCATTACAATTTTACACTTATTTGTGTGCTTATTTCACTCCTCCACTAAACCATAAGTAACCATGTGACGAGAAGCTGTTCCTGGCTTTGTTCATCATTTTATTCTGAGCACCTAGCACAATGCCTGGCTCAATAAA